GCTCTGTATTCCATAGATGATGATATCAACTGGGTGCTTGCCAGAGACAGCAGCATAGATGTTCTTAAACTCATCTTCACCAACTACGAAAAAGTTGCTGCCGAAACGTTCTGTGTTGACCATGCTGGGAAATCGAAAAAGAAAAAAGATTCGTGGTGAGACAGCTAAAGAAGGTCCATGAAGCTGCGCAAAAATTCCCTTTGCCTCAAAGGACTCAAGAATATCGTTGTAGATAAACTGAGAAATAGTGCAAAAGACTTCCTTAGATGACATGACGAAATTAACAAACCACAAGGCAGGGAAGAGGGCCAAAACTGAAGGTAATGTCTAAGGACTCCCCCTTCAAAGATTGATAACCGAAACGAAACTCAAAGCAATGTCTAAGGACACCACTTGAGTGAGCTCGAATATAGTAGTCGAAACAAATAATCGAAATCTCAAAAGATGTCTAAGGACACCCCTTGAGAAAGCTTGCGTGAGGTGACAGGCAAAACTTGAGATCAAATAGTGTCTAAGGACACCACTTGAAAGCTAACCAAGGCAAAGTGGCCAAGCTAACTAACTATCCTAGCTACCTGTTTCGGCAAGGAGACAACTTCTAGCGAAAGGCAACTCGTATGATGTCTAAGGACACCACAGGAGTAAAAACAACTCAAAACAGAAGTTCCTAGCTACGCGTACCGGCAGGAGACAACTTCTTCTCTTTAAGAAGCAGTCTTGAACCTCCCAGCTCAACAGATTATTACTGAGAGCTTTGAGCCGATATGCCTTGAGCCAAAGGCTTGAGCCAAAATGGCTACGGACACACGACCTGGAGAGGCACGTACTCTCGGGCCAATGCTTTCCTTCGGTGACAATCTTGATCTGCCGAAATGGGTTCGTTGGCTTCCACGCAATCAAAGAGATGAGGACCAATGGGCTGATGACTCCTTTGCAGTTCTCAATCAGGGGTACATGTCTAGAGCTACACATAGCTGAGCGTTTTTGCTGGCACCTGTGTGTTGGCTCTATCCACATTAGAGGCCACCTCAGTTGAGTACCCTGGAGTACCCTAATGAGCAAGCTGCCCATAAAGAAACGCCAAATGTGACTTCGGTAAATGCTGGTAACCAGGACTATGATGACAAGAGGACCAACAGACACACGTTATCACGCGCATGCGCTACAATCCGCGTATGCAAATACTAGCTAACACCCGCAAGCTAGCCTCTTAGGCCAGCACCCGTGTGCTGGTCCTAAGAGTGCCAGTTGCTCTTCGTTTGATCTCCGCTTTCGATGGCCTGAATAGTTAGACAGTGCCCAGGCTGCTACCCGCGTGGTGGTTCTGGATGGGTACAGTGTACAGAGTTAGGAAAACGGCGTCTCACTTTGTCTCACCTGTTTTCGCGTAGTTTGTGGGGCCTTGCATGTGTCGGCCATACCCAACCTGGCCGCGTTTGAAAGGAATGTCAGATGCCTGGCTGCATCACTTTTGCAGCGCCCATGCCATGGAGCCTGCTCAACTTGTGTCATCCAAGGAGCATGTTTCGCCTCACTCCCGTTGCTAAGCTGTTTTGGGTCGGGGCTGGTCTGACATGCTCCCTTTGCTGTCTGCTGTCACTCCTTGGCTTGTATGAGGCTGGTCGCTGCCTGCTGCAAAAGCAGTCTGCCTGACACATGTTGCAAAAATGATCCGATTTGTCATGTGGGGATCAATCTGTGAGATACGCATTAGAGCCTGCCGTGTGCTCTTCAAGGGAGCACCACTTCGAAACTGACTGTGCGAATTGCCAGTTGAGGGAGATCTCTTAAGTCTCCCTCTGCTTGAACAAGATCATGCGTTGAAGTGCTCAGTGGTACGTGAATTTGCTGAAGGACAAGATCTACTGAGCGCCTTGCGGAATTCACTGCCCCTGTTTCACTGCTCTTCACCATGCCTGCGTGGCCATGCGAGTTGCATAACAGGTTGCTCCTCCCCTTGTCCCCTTTGGGGGGTTGGTTTTGTTGCTCGGTTCTGTTTGGTTGTTGGCGGTTTGGGGGTTCTCTTCTTGCGGTTGGTGTGCAACCTGTACAGCAACTTCTTCTTAACTCGAACTGGGTGACTTGTGCAGAACCTGCACACATAGCGCCTCGACTCGTGCAAAAAAAAATCTTGACAAATGCTTGGGCGTGGGCTTAGCTGTTGATGCGTCCAAAGATGAATTGCACTTTGTTGTGAACTTGTGGCTTTCGTTTTGGAGTCCAAAAAATCGGCAAAGCCGGTCTCGCCACGAAGGGCCTGCCCAGTACGAGTGCTAAAGGATCAGAAGCCGCCATCAGCAGATGTGTGCACCTTCCAGACAGAGACTCAGATTCCATTGGAGACGAATCGGTGCGAGCAGTGGATCAAGTACAATGGCAAAGGAGGCCGGAATGGTTCAGCCGTTGACGGAGGCTCCAAGCTTGGCCTTCTTGGCATTCCTCTCGGAGCGACATCCTCTTCACCCTGCCCATGCTTCCCTGTCCGATTTTTCCCTTCCATCGCACAAATTTCTTCTAGGACACACATTTCTGCTGTTATGCTCTTCCTTCATCTTCTTCTTTGTTTTGATCCTCTTCTTCTTTCTTCTTTGGATCACATGAGGTGATAGACGATCATAAGTTCTTCAAAACATGACGAAACTTCTTCTTCAACATCTTCTGGGCTGCAGCGACGTCTTCTCATTTCGGCAACTTGGAATTTGGGCAGCATGAATGCTCTGTTCTTGAGCTGCGCTGGCTCTAACTGTCGAAGCTCTCATTCGCAACGTCTCGCCAAAAAACGATTTGGCTGGAGGATCACGCGCAATGGGCCACAAGAAATGGTTGCACTGCTGCTGTGTCAATGATTTGTCGGCGCAGTTCTCAAACAATGTTGGTCAAATCTTTCCCACAGAAGCTGAAAGTGGCGTTGCAAACATGGTTGTTTTGTGACGACCAACCCAAATACCTCCCCATTAAAACGTTCAGAACTGAGCACGAACCGTTTCTCGAGAAATAAATTGTTTTTGCTCCATCCAGACAATGTAACATTGCACTGCTGAGATCTCCCGTGGGCCCACCAGCGAAGTAAAACATGCCAAGTACATTTCCATCCTTTCAGTCACATTTTTGAGAACACAACCAGATTAAATGGGTGGTGTTGTTTGATGTGTTTATTGTTTGATGAATTTTATGGCCACTTGTCATTGTGTGACGTGCAGGGGAGATGGTAGATTCATAGTAAAAAAGGAACATTATCTTAAAAGTGCCCCGAAAAATTTTCATCTCAACATGCCCGAAAAATTTTCATCTCAACCATGTTGAGATGCCACGATTGGGCCTGCAAAATCATTTGTTGCACTGAGCATTTGTTGAGCATTGATGTTGAATTCAGCTGTCGCAGCTTTCACAAAACAACATCTCTCAAAGGATTGTGGATGGATATATGAGTTCTCTCTGGGGTTGATTCATGGTTTCCCTTTTTTGAAACACATCTTATTATGTTGGGCAACCTCGTGCAAGAGCCGAAATTTTAATCTAGTAAGGTTGGAAGATCAAAAGTATTTTGTAGTATAAATGGTTTGTTTGACATTTTTTCAATATATATATATATATTGTTAGATGATCAGCAAATTCCTAGAGACACACAGCATACTGGAATGCACTTAGCATCACGCTGTGAACACAGGCCCAAA